CCGCGAGGCATTGTGGCTGGTGTTGGGTAAGTTTGGTTGCCCTCGTAAGTTTGTAAGTTTAATTGAATGTCTGTACAGTGGTATGCGAGCGAAGGTGCAGCTGAGTGGAGAGACCTCGGATGACTTTGCAGTTGTCTCTGGTGTGAAGCAAGGCTGTGTCATAGCTCCTGCCTTGTTTAATATCTATCATGTCTTGACGTCTTGGGCTTTTGATGCCGCTTGTGCTTACGGTGTTCGTGTGGCGCACCGTATTGATGGTGGGCTGTTGAACATCCATCGTTTCGGTGCAAAAACTCTAGTCTGTGAGACAACTATCCGTATGTTGCTGTTTGTTGACGACTGTGCGTTATTTGCACACTGTGCGAAAGAGTTGCATCAGTTGACTAGTGCTCTGGCTTCGACAGCGTCCATATTCGGACTCACCATCAACACAAGCAAAACTGTCTGTCTCTTTCAGCCTTCACCGGAGGTGCAATCTTCAATATTGCCGCGAATCACCATTGGTGCTGAGGTGTTGGAAACCACCTCCCGCTTCAGCTACCTTGGGAGTGTGATATCGACTGATCAGCAGCTACTCGTTGAGTTGCGTATTCGCGGGTCGAAGGCAGCAGCGGCATTCGGGAAGCTTGCGTACAGAGTGTGGAACAGCTATCACCTTAGCATTGGCACAAAGCTGATGGTGTACAAATCCATGGTGCTGTCCGTTCTTCTATACGGCAGTGAAACGTGGACGATGTACCGTCGGGATGTGCGATATCTTGAGCGGTTCTATCAGCAGTGTCTGCGACGAATTTTGCGCATCGGGTGGGGCGACAGAGTTGCAGACACGGAAGTGTTGCGCCGAAGTGGGATGTATGTGTGGACTGCATACTTTTACTGAGACACCTGAGATGACTCGGTCATGTGTGGCGTATGGATTCGACTCGGATACCGAAACAACTTTTATACGGTCAGCTGAGTATTGGGAAGCGGCATGTGGGGGAACCAAAGTTACGTTACCGAGACATGATCAAAGTGAGCCTCACACGTTCTAATCTTGATTGCAGGTCATGGGAATCGAAGGCGGTTGATCAGCGTGCATGGCGCGATCTCATCACGAAGGCAGTTGCCGAGGTGCAGGAGAAAGCCCACATGCGTGCAGAGAAGAAGCGGCAAGTGCGGAAGCGGCAAGCACCGATGGATTGTACTCCATCGACATCGAGTGCATGGTGCTTTAGCACATGCGGTCGCGAGTGCCTGAGTCAGGCCTAGTGAGCCATGAGCGAGGCCACTTGGGACTACTACCGAAGCGCCGACGGGTTCTGCAGAGAACGTAGGCAGAACCGGTGCAGCATTTGTAGGTACGCTGCATTCGATTTACTAACCGCGGGCTTGCATGCTGTCTCTTTATTTCAGGGGGTGGGTTTCCAATTTTGCCCTAATGCTTTTCTTTCCCATATAAATGTCTACCCGTACTCTCTTCTATACTCTTGCACACGTCGATTAAGTCACTTGTAGTTATTACGATAACATTTTCGTGTTTGTAGCATTTCCGTAAAATAAACCTCCTGACCTCGTGAACTTACCTGGCATTCTTTTGTAAACGTCTTCTTTTGTAAACAACTTATTTCATAAGCTCACTAATTTAAGATTTATGTCACCGTTTGCTTGCGTGCTAAATCTGTTTATTTCAGGTGGTGGGTTTTCAATTTTGTCCCAATGCTTGACTTTCTCATATAAATGTCTACCTATTCTCTCTTCTATAAACTTGCACACATTCCTTAAGCCAACTTCAGCCGATTTCGATAACATTTTCGTGTTCGTGGCATTTCCGTAAAGTATACTTTCTGGCCTCGTGAACTTATCTCGCATTCTTCTGTAAACAATTTACTTCAGATGCTCATTACTTTAAGATATTTGTCACCGTTTCCTTATGCATTACTCGATGTATTTTCTTTGTTATCTTTCTCTCAAGTGATTGGCTGTTGTTTGATATTCCCGGTGAGGCTGCGCTTGATGTGCATGTTGACAAGGTACCTACCTGTCTATTACCCGCTACCTCGTCCATACTGGCTCCAGGAGACAGTTGGTCGTTGCTGGAGGGGACAGGGTACACGGTCCTTGTGGCCGTGTTCGGGTCAAAGAGTGTTTCCATGCACTCAGTGTGGAGCGGACTACGGTCCAGCCACCGCCTTGTGTGCGCTTGATTCCCCAAATACAGTGTGCTTGTGTTTGCCTGTGAGGGAGTGTGGGCCGGCTCGGTTGATGAAACGTGGTTCCCATCCGCATGCCTCACGGTCTTATTGCTTCGGGTTTACACTGGATATGGGGTGTGTGGTTGGAGCAGTGGGTGGTGCAGCGCAAGCCACCCATGGTCCCTCTGTAGGCGCAGGCGTCCTGTGGCTGGCCACAGTGACTGGCAAATCCGAAACCGGATGCCGCCAACAATTGCACGAATGCTTTTGAGGAAATCCTGTTGCTATGGAGCTATTAAGTTGTGGCTTTCCAGGTACTACAACAACGCATCTGCGATGATTGATCCCATCACTTTGGATAGTACGGGAAGTAGTGTTACTGGAAGGTATTTGGCAGGATCAGTGCGGCTATTTTCTTTATAGATAGCAGTGATGATCCCTCGTTCCCATACTGGTGGAAAACGGTTCTCTCCTAGACATCGCCGATAGAAGACATCCAGTGGTTCTGCTAGATCACTAGCTACCACCTGTAGAGCCTTTGGTCGGCTTTTGTCGGCTCCGGGAGAACTGTGGATACACAAGGATAACAATTTCTTCAACACAGCTACCGCAGGGAAGGTGATGTTTTCTAAACCAGATGGTGGAGTATTAGAAATGAGGTGAATGTTTGGGCTCGACACTTGTTGGAACGTTTGAGAGTAATGAAGCCGTAAGAGATCAGCTGCTTCCATTGCTGATCGCATGCACCCATCAGCCGTGACGAGTGCTGGAACCCCCACTTCACCTTTCGAAGGCCGTTAACGTGCCTGTACAGTAGTTCGCGGTTCGTGCAGAATCGCTTCATTAACTCCTGTTGAGGAGTAAGCTTGTCTTCGCGGATCAGTTTCACACAGAAGTTACGATGTGTCACGTATGCAGTCCAAGTTTCGGCATTCGAGCAGTACTGATGATGTCGCCATGCCAAATCCCTCCGGGGCATACATTTACGTGTTCTGCTCCTCAGAAATGACTTATGCTTGTTTTTGGGTTGGAAGGGCTTCTGTTTCGATGCGTGCGCAACCAGTGTGCTAAAGTACCTTGTAAAGATTTCCCAGGCAACATCTGGGGGGCATTCGGTTAAGAAAGTCCAAGATGTATCCTTAACAAGCTTAGATAACACATTGTTGTGCGTGACAGTATGCACTTTATCATCCACCTTTTTAGAATACTCCGCATAGCATATATAGTCAAAGAGTAGAGTAACATGTTCACTACGACCCAGTGGTGTGCTTGTAACTATCCCGTCAACCATGAGTTCTTCGTTAGTTAGCACAAGATCCAGTATCGACGGCATGTTAGCAGTTCGAAATCTGGTGGGAGAGATTACGTGATTGTACAGTGGGTGGCTAGCAATTAGCTCTTTCAAGCAGGCTTTAAACTGCATACTGTCGGGTGCCGGCGTTTCTATGTCTGGCACGATAAAATCTCCAGCGATAAGAATGTGGGTGTGGGACTTGTTCAAAGCAAACTGAAAAACGTGGTTCAGTTTGGAGTCCATTTCCGACGTTGAGTTTGGTGGGCGGCAAATCACGACTAATAGACATGTGTCCTTATTTCGCAACCATTGACTGCACCAAAGCGAATCAGGAGCTCGGATTTCCGGGTGATCGATAACTTCACATCGGAGGTTTGTATTATAGTAAAGAATCACGCCGCCACCCATTCCGGTTCTATCGGCCCGAAGCAGCGACCTACCGGGTAAACTGATCTCAGAATCGGTTATCTCAGGGCTGAACCATTTCTCTGTAATCATGACGAGGTCCCGCGGTTGTGAGGCGTGAAGTTCTCTAAGTTCAGCCAACTTGCTTAGAAGGCCTTGGGCATTTGTGTACAAGCAAGATAGGGCTTTTGTTGTTAGGAGTACGTTGACGGATGTCAACTTTTTGCTAGTTTTTAAGCCGGCCGTTAGGTGGCCGGCCATTAAACGTTTTTTGGTTTATGTATTTCAGTTAAGTTGCATGGCATTGTTGAGTGTTCCTGAACAGACGTTTCACTCGTGATGTGCTCTGTCCTATTGTGTGCCGTGGGCGCTGTTTTGTCGGTCCCTCCGCAGGACTGTACAAATAAAGATTTTGTAAGGTTTGCAAGTTCCATCGAATTGCTTCCGACTTTTGGCCGCTCCTGCTGCCTTTAGCCGGATCTCTCTTGGCAACCTAGCTCGAAACTTTAACCAGCTATCCAACAGAACTTGCGTCATTCCCTCCGAGTGTAGTATTACTTTCATTAGCCTTGGACCGCATCCATTTTGTAGTTAGGTGATGACGGAACTCTTGTCAGGGGTTTAGCAATAACATTGTCAACAGAGAGTGCTTCGCGGGTGTAGCACCACTGCTCTCGGTCATATGTTTGCGCATCGTGATCAGAAGAATGCAGAAGCTCGGTAACACCATGAACAAATATTGTTTTCTTGCTATCCCTATTAGGAATGCCGCGTTGCTCAACTGTTTCTTTTGCGCGATCTTTCCAAGGTAGATTAGGTAATATGCGTACTCCGCTCGGTGATTTGCGAAGACGAACTGCTGAGAGCAGGACAGTCTCTGTCTCGTGTGCTGAGTGTAGTTTTACTCGAAGAATGTGAGGTTCACCAGAATGCACTGTGGTCGGGTGACGCGCTACGCGTTACATCATTGCAAGCTCAACCCGAATACCAATCGCCTAGCAGATGGAACTCCACTGGTTGCGATCGTCTTGAAAGTTTCCTTTATTGTGCCAGATTTGATTCGGGAACATTGGTGCACACGAGAGTTAACGCAGCGTGGTTTTGTCTAGCGAGTGTTGGCTTTATACTTTTGCCGGCAATTTGGGTTGTTTAGAAGGCACCACTGGAGTTGACGGTGAAAGCTGCTTTGCGCCACGCGTGCTCGGTACTGAAGATGGACCTATGTGTGTCGCTCCCGGTGTGTTTGTCGTGGCAATCGATGCGTACGTTACCTGCTTGTTTTCTGCACCGGATTGCCTTCGGCTCTGAGCTGTCGGTGTCATCTCTGAATCTCCAAGTGAAGCGTCTATGGGTGGAGAAGTGGAAGCAGGCATGTTTGAGGCTTGTCCACTTATGGGAGTGAGGTGACCCAGTGGAGTTAGAGTCACAGATGCTGCAGTGCCGTTGGAGCGTCTAGCTCTCTTTTTCGGCTTAGATTCGGAGCTTACTTTGGCTGGGTGAGGCATTATCGTGGCTATATTTACCTCTGGGTGATCGATCTTAGTATTTACAAAATGTACGATTATCTCAGTCATCCTATCGCACTTTTTCATGAGCAAAGATAAACAGTTGACAACTGGAATGACTTGACATGTTGGGCAAAACCAAATTGTGTCAGCAACTTGGTTTGTCTGTCTCACTTCGTGGACAGATTTGCCTACACATTGCGGACAGTACGATCTATTGCAGCTAGAACAGGTAACCCTGGTCTTAAGGACTTTACTGCGATTGCGTAACATAGGCGACGTTGAACCATTGGAACGCTAATCGTCCTCTTATTGTTTACAGCAAGGCCTATCTAAGCGCCCACCTTGATGAGTGTTCTTTGCGCCAGGGGTGACGCACGAATAGGTCAGAACACGCACACGAATTGAGAGTTGTTCAACCGCACCAAGGTCAGGCGGTAGAGGCAGATGGAGATCGTAACGCGCATACTGTCGGGTTCAGCGATCAATCGACTCGCAGTTGAGTACACACACACACACACACACACACACACACACACACACACACACACACACACACACACAGCGGCAGCGTGTGTGCCTTAAGCGACGATGCAGGTGGAGCGCTGATAAGCGTCCCTAGAACTGCTCCGTTGATGAGCGGAGCAAAAGGGCTGTAACTTTGTTATGCTGCAACTTACAGGGATGGTTGCCGCGTAGTTTGGGAGCCCTCAGCTTCTTCTTCCGAATGAGACCAAAATCTTTTCCGAAAAATCGTTTTGAGGTAGTTACACAAGTGGAATTGGGCAAAGAATATGCTGAAAACTGGGAACTGGAGCAAGAGTATAATCCACACAGGTTAGATCCAAGAGTTGGGAGGCACTGAGTAGAGCTCGTCGAACTGGTTTGAATGAGCGCACGTGTAATATCGTGTGGGGAGAATAAGAATGACTACAGAGCGCAAAGCGAGAGCCAAATTAAAATGCGGCCGCGCGGGAACTTGGGCCACACGATGGGAAGGGTGTGGTTAATGTGCAGGCGCTCACGATGACGTCTAATTTGATCGCTTGAGTGGTTCGTATTTTCTGAACGCTGCCCCGCTAGCAATTAGCGGACGACTCACGCTGCACCGCATACATTGGCACAACTTAGACACTGAAGCGAACGTAGTCGACCGCATAGCCCTCCAAAATGTTTGACAATAAGCGACAAACATCTAGTTCGCGTCCCGAGATGGATCAGTGACTCACACCCGACTGGCTGTCTTGCGTACCTCACAATGTCTGTCCTCACGCGGCGATATGTAACCTACGGCACTATGAAACTTCAGCATTTACGCAATAATGCTAAACCTAACGAGCGACAGAGTGACTATTCCTTTTCTGTGCACGGTAGTCCTCTTCGTGATACCAACTACGTACCATCAACTCGCGACACAACAGTACGTAACAACACATGACCCCTCATCATTAGCAGCAATGTAGTCCTGATTGCCAGGAATCATCCGGATACCCTCTGGTTGTCTCGCAACGCTTAACGCGGAAACATGCGAGAACTCTCTGCGACAGCACTTAGCCTGAACACCATCGTTCATATCTGCATGTCGAATCAATGGCTTTGCGATGCATAGCATTGACAACACCAGTTCAAATTATCTACAGTTATATCAACAAAATGGGAACGATTTACAAGTCAGGACAATGCATTGCACAAGCCTAATTCCTCCGCACATGATCTGTCATGTGCTGGCAGTGCTGAGACGTCACGCAGACTCGTGCCTCTGACATAATTCGCTCCATGAAGCACATCCTCCACTCGGTTTCGTAAGGTACATTCTTAGGATTTCACTGAAGCATCTCGGGATATCTCTGCCTCATAGATTGCTTCACATATGACTTTATGATGCGCCAAATGCTCCAAATGGTGTCGAGTGATTGAGAATGTGGAGGAAGGTGCAGGCGGCTGCCCGAACGGTACAATTGCTCCTTGCATGCACGTTCCAGATTGGTGTAGCATGGCGCGTTATCGCAGATCAGGAGGTAGCTTTCGACAAAAATCGAACCCTTGGCATCCAACAGTCCACGCAATCATTGCACACACCTTTCTTTGTTGTAAGTTCCTCTCACGAAAGTATACTCTACCAAGCCATCGATCGTCAGGGTTCCTATAAGATGGGCGTTCCGTCCTTGATTGTTGGACACTTGACACAGTGCATGACTTGCACGCGGTGAATGGCCTCCGGTGCAAGCGCAAAAGAGCTCGAGATTTATTTCGTCGAGCAACACCGCTCGTCTCCCTTCGACCTCCGACTATAGCAGTACATAGACATAGAATTGTCGAGAAGGGTCAGCAGTGCTCATTCCATCTGGTCCTTGTAATGCTCGAACCCGCAACGCGACTGTTACCAGTCCGTGGTTAATACCACTGAGGTACGATTTCCGAACGGATGAAAATACCGAAAGTGCTTTTCCGGGCGTGAGATAACTGTCTGAGTGAGTCTAGTTGTTATGAATTCCTATCTTAAATCCCCCTACTACTGTTCTGTGAAACTTGTACAATCTGAATCGAACAACGTCGGACGAAAATCTAGCATTTCACGTTACTGGATGTCCACCCACTTTTATTTGCTTATTTCTCTCCTTCCAGTGTTGGCCAGGATTGGGCCGATCTCCCGAGGCTATGGATAAATGCTTCCGAAAAAAATGCAGCACACTCATGCAGTATGAGTTATCACAAACTCACTGGCACATATTACAAGTGCTTGATTCAAATCAGCCAAATGATGGCTGTGCGATGGGGAGAGCTTAATATGAAACACAGGCCCCCACAGTACAGTGCTGGAATTGAATCAGCTAAAAGATAGCAGTATGATGGGGAGAGCTTTTCATTGAACACAAGCCCCCACAATACAGTGCTGGAAACAAATCAGATAAAAGATGGCTATACGATGGGGAGAGCTTAATATATATCACAGGCCCCCACATAACTGTATACATATAACGCCACAATAGCACATGGCCAGACGAGACGTGGAAGAGAAGTGTGGAAGCAGGCCTCCGGGAGACGGTTTCATGATGGGTCGTATTACTCCAATTAAACTGACAGTTTATATCCACTTTTATTCTTACTCTCAACTTCTACTACTCCTACTCCTTTACTATTTTTAATTGATTTAGCACTGAAACATTCCTATGTGAACACAATAGATCACTGAATATCCCTCTCTACTACCCGACTTTGTTGTACCACATGATCAGGCTCGTAGTCTGCCTGTGTCTCGCATGTCGAGAAATATATCATTCATTTATTTATTTATAGGATTTTCGTCGTCTTTTTTCTTTTATGTGTTCGTGGATTCCGAAACTGTGTGCAATTTCTTCATTGTTCCCAACCTCCCGTCCAAGTGTCGCGCTATGGCGCTAATGATTACCTCAAGCACCAACGCAGCTTTCATGCGCAGGTGGAGTATTTGGAGAGTGACCGTGGGTTCCGACGATACACATACTACCAAGCAAACAATGTGGCTTTCTGCCAGAGATCTTTATCGCCCCCACCGTGCTTCGCACTTTGTTCGATTGATTCCATTCTTCGTAGCCAACTGCGGCCGGTTTTCGGGTTGACGCTTAGTATACATGCAAGTTGCTCCCAGTTGTTTTTCTCCTCACAACTCTTCAGTATTCTGCTCTTGACCTCCGTTGAGTAGCGTGTAGGGGTGCTTTTTGTGCAATTCTGAGTAAAGCAAGCTGGAAGTCACCCAGCTTTACATATCTACGTGTCTGCGCAAGCTTTGTCATTTAGGACTTCGCTAAACCGGCCAACTACCGTCGGATAATTCTTCTCCCAGTTTTTTTTAAGATCATGTAATCCACTATTACAGAGGCCATTATGGGATACATGGAAAAATGCAGTAGCATCGTACCAGAGAAATACGGTTTCTGCCGAAGCCACTCATGTACCACGAACATCTTGTTAACCCGTGCCAGTTAGACGGAATCTGTCGATCCTGATGAGGAATTTGACGCCGTGTAACTCGATTTCTCGAAAGCATTTGATCATCTTGATCACAATGTCCTCTTTCTCAAGCTGCAGAGCTGTGGGATTAACGATCCTATCCTGGGTTGGATAAGTAAATTCCTGCTTCGACGTCGCCTAACCCTGAAAGTCCGTATCGCCTTCCTCACCCGATAGAAGTGCGATGTGGCGCTCCACAAGGCTCGGCTCTAAAACCAAGGCTTATCCTCATCTAAATTTAACGGTCAAGTGTAAGTGATGGATTCATATGTTTTACTATTCGCGGAAGATTTCAAAAGCTGGCGAACTACCAAGACGGTAAATGACCACATGACTCTACAAGGTGATCTCGATCGGGCTCACGAATGGTCATTTCAAAACATGCTCGAGTTCATCACTGCCAACTTTTGAGTACTGGCATACGCCACCAGAGAAATTACGCATGCCGAATGGGAGAACAACTTTCGCAACGTTTCTTCCATGAAAATGATCTTAGAGTGGTCACGCAGGTCGATCTCGGTTTCTCAAAACAGGCCGAAAAGGCAGCAAAAATGGTCAAGGAGCACTTGGGTCTCGTGCGGAGAGTATTTGACCGGTTTGGTCCCACTATCATTTCAAATACTCAATGTTTACATATTGAATACACCATCCAGGTCTAGCACCGCTAGCAAAATACAGCAACAACAAAGGTTAAGTGCATGACGTATCTTCCTCACCAGCATAGACTACGGACCCTAGGAATTTTCGGTAGTCAATACCGTCGCCTGCGCGATGATCTTGTTTTGGTGCTTCAGGTCCTAAAGGATCCAAAGCACGCATGTCAGCACTTACTGAAATCAGATCACAACTCCTCACTTCGAGGCCATCACTTGGTTAGTCACACAGTACAGCCAGCTGGAATGCCGCTGGCATCTTTTTTCACTTCGTGTGTCCCCGTGGTGGAACGCTCTCCTGCTTTCTGTCATCTCCACGTCTACATTGACTGAGTTCGAAACGCAACTTGGTGAAACATTACAACACATACACTACAAGGCTTAATTAATGTCGCTGGGACACATCAAGACATGGCCAAATTACGTACACCAGTGACACTTCGGTAACTTCACCGATATGTGCTACCTGTGTTTGCGTTAATACATTCATATGCTGTTTCACGCTTTGCCTTCGGGAATTGTGAAGATTTACTTTTTTATCAGCGATCATTCCTTTGATCCATTGATACGACCCCTTCGTGTACCTAAGCGTGCTTCTGGATTCAATCTCACCGCTAGACTCAGCCTTAC